GAAGGAAGGAAGGAAGGAAGGAAGGAAGGAAGGAAGGAAGGAAGGAAGGAAGGAAGAAAACCAAAACCATTTTTTAAAAACAAAAATAAAACCTATTTCATACTATATTTTGCACCTATTTCTGCAATAAAGAATTTTAAAAAAACCCCAATGTTGGGTTATGGAGACCAAGTTAAAAATGTTCTTTCTGAAAATGAGAAACAATTCTTGGTGACATCACAGTCTTTCAGGCAATCAATAGGATGCACAGCCATTTTCTGCTGCTTATTTGCAGAATTAGCTTTGGTAATGTGCAGATTATTTGAGTTCTAAATAATCGACTTTGCCTTAGAGGTATTTATTTTATTTCCCCTCTTTTCTTCATGGGGCAACTGTTAATTGTTTCCAGGAACTATTCAATCCATTCAATTTTTTTCACCCTAAGGACCCCAACAGAGTTTTCAGTCTCTGGCCTGCTAGGTACAGTCTATAATAATCTTCTCCCATTAGTAAGCCTGCTTAGTTTCTCCTCTGTCTGCAGGTTGCCTTATTCAGGGTCCATCCTGATTTTCTGGGGTAGGCAATGATTTGCTCTGTTCTTATGGCAATTGTTAGGATTATATACATCTGGCTAAAGGGCAAGGGTGGTACCAGAAAGTTCATTATACTCCAAACACCTACTTGGGCATGAAGGGCCAGTGCAATTTAGCAAAGGTCAAGTGGCTGCTGTATCTGTTCAGATTGAGGCTTTCCACCTTCAGCCTCCTGAGGATTCGTAGAGTAGGCTGGGAAGGAAATTACCTTGGAATTGGATACAAAAAGCTGTTGGCATTCAGGGTTACTTCGTTAAACAGGGATGGAGCTTGGGACCAAGAGTCAAGCAAACATTAGCATTCAGGTGTGTGTTTGTGTGTTGGGGTGTTTATGAGCTATACATATGATTGCAGAGGGTGGGGGAAAAGAAATGTAGGAAACGACTCTGTTGGCAAACAGAGAAGTTGACTCTGTACAGTACAGCAAGAGGGTTATTATATGGTTGGAAAACAGGCCACAGTTTTCAAGAAAGAGCTCTCTCAACTTGTAACCCTCCAGGTATATTGGCATCTCAACACCCAGCCAGTGCTGTCTAGGAATTCTGGAAGAGAAGGTCCCACCCAGATGGATTCTCTGGGAAAGCTTTGGCACACACTTTTTTTCTTCCCTTCCATTGGCATTTCATTCAGGTCAGTGTTCCACATTTTGGAAATACTACTCAAGCCAGCAAAACCTAGGCATCAAAAATAGCACTGGAATGAGATATATACCATGAACTGATCCTTTCTCTAACACAGCCCTGGTAGTAGTCGTAGTAGCATTCTGTATTGCAGATCAAAAGGGTGGTATCTTTGGGCAGAACTAAATGGAATGGGTGAAGCTAGAGTGCTTGTTTGGACCATTGGTAGTGCCACAGGGAACATCCTTGCATGTGTGGAAAGTGACTGATTTTACTACTTTAAAGTAGACGGAGGCCTAGAATATGGTGGTTGTTCCAGGGCTGGAGTAAAGGAGAAGACTGTGATCAAGAATTGATATAAATCTTAATAAATAGTGGATGGTCTGCCACAGGCCATTCTAATGACTGAAGCTGGATTTAGACCTTAAAACATTTCTCCTGAGATCTTGCTTGTATTCTTTGAAGCAAAACAACAACACTAGCTATATGGCTGAGTACGTACAGCTGGATCTGCAACTGTTCCATGTACATCCCCAGCTCCATTTTTGCAACCTCTGGAACCACTCTAATATGACATTGCTGAAATTTAGCAACGAAGCACCAATTTCAGCCTCTTTTTTCATTTAGTGAAAAGAAGAATGATAATAGATGCATTAAGATATAACCCATCTATATAACCCATCGATGCATTAAGATATAACCCATCAAAATTCCATCTCCCAGACAAAAAAAGGGTGAAAAGTTCAGCTCTCCCACTTCGTCTAACTCACTGCACTATCAGCTCTGCTTCCTGCGGCCCTCAGAGGCCATTTTTCTTTAGAAGAAAGGGACAGACCAGCCCCAGAAACAAAAAGGTTGCCTATTCCTGGGCACTCCAATATTGTCACATCCAGAATGCTTGTCCCTCCCATCAACCCTGTGAAGATCATTCAGGCTCTCTCCTATCCTGCAAGCCAGGCTTTTGACAGATATGAAAAGGGGAGGAGAGGTAAGGACAAAGTAGCTATAGAGCATTCTTCCAAATTATCTGACTGGGGAGAGTATGCCCAGCAAAAATCCATAGTCAACATATGCTTACAATCCTGATGTGAAAAGTGGATATAGATTGTCTCTTTCTCTCATAATATTAGAAAGTGTGCTTAGCCTATGTATAGATTGATAGCAAATTCAGAACGAAGTAGAAATACTTTATTTCACATGACAGCAGCATGCGAAAAGCAAGGAACTCTGCATCTGTGTCTGTTGATCCCATCTATTCTTCTTAACTATCTCAACTGTAGCCTCCACATCAGCAGCTAAGATTTTACCATGCATTGCCAGTTTTCTTTCTAGCCAGTCTTTGCAACCATAAACTTTTGACATTTGAAATAATCAGAAAAATTATTTGTGCTTTCTGTACAATTCTGTACATCAAAATGCTCTCAGAGTATGAAACAGCTTAAGAAAGGACATCAAGAGGGATTTCTTGTGCACAAAACTTCAGATGCATTACTATTTAACTCTTTATTATATTTGGTTCCTTGTTTATAATATCCAGTATAGGTTTTAGAATATTTTATTATTATATGTGGTGAAATTTGTTTATCCTATTTTTCACTGCAGCGGATTCACTGCAAATCAACTTAATTTTAAAAAAAGACAATCCATAAATAGAAAAAATTAAACATTAAAAAGAGGCAACAGCTGATTAACTGTTTCAAGCAGAATGTCAGGTTAAGTCAGCTTCTTCAACTTGGTGTTTTGGAAGTATTGGGACTAGAACTCTCAGAATCACCACTCAGGGTAGCCCACCCAACACATGTATCACTAGGAAAATAGACAGAATTCTCAAGGAATTCCATATGTTGGGAGCTGCACAGAGAAGGCCTTTCCTTAAACTACTGAAAGTCATACTTAGATGATGGGACAGGGTAGAGAGTCAAGAAGATGACCTTGATGAAGACATGCAGGAGCCCTTGTCTAGGCAAAAGGGGCTGAAGCATTTTTTAAAGTCCAGAACAAGGTATCATTTGGAAGCGGGTTAGGCAGACATCTCCCTAATTCACTGAACTATAAGAAGGAGGAAGAAGTACGGCAGAATCAGACCCTCAAGTTTCTATTATTACAACCAATCTCAATGAAAGCGGTTTAGCCTTCCTGTGGTGTTAATTTCCCAGTCTGGTCTACCTAGTGGGTAGATGACAGATGTAGAAGTACCTCAAAGATGGGTGAGATTTTATGGCAAGAGACATTCCTATAGAAATTCCTGTTGTAGTCATATGCATTCATTGACTCAGCATTGTATTCCATTGACTGTGGGAACACAACTTGGTTAAAAGATGGTTAAGAAAGAAATGATACTCAGAAGAAGATAAGTGACAGGATTGGAAGGGTTAAAGAGGTAGAAGGGATTGGAAATTGAACAAGAGGCATCAATAGAAGGTAAGTGGATAGGCTGAAAATCAATCTGAGACTACGTCCTCACTGATAAATAAAGGACATCCTCAATGATAAAATAAAACATCCCAGTAACAATTTTCAGCAGATGGCGGAAGAGAAAGTGTTTGACCACCCATAGACTTTTCCTCTCCGGTCACCCTTGCTGCTATGCGACACTGAAAAGTCCTGCTCCCTTCTATCCTTCAAGATACGACAGCAGAGAGCAATTTCTCTTCCCAAGATCCAATTCCTCCCCAAGACATGGCTATTTCCCCTCCCCCTTTTAATTCAGTCACTCAAACTGACAGCTACACTATGTACAAGAACTGGGCTACACGATTGCTGTGCCATATTTTTGCTGTAAATCTGCTGATGTGTCAAGAGCTCCCTTTCACTCCCCAATCCTCCTGATAAATATTCATTTTATATAAGTATTTTTCATCTCCCTCACTCTCTTTTTAGATCTTCTCCTTAATTCTCATCACCGGATTTGGAGTAGCGGGTGGTCTTTATATCCTTGCAAGGAAGACCTTCTTTATTCCTGAAGTGAGGTATGTTTCTGGATAGCAATTACATCTAGGTTGGAACAAGAGTCTCTGCCATATTTGTAAGAGATCCATTATCTGATCTAAGCTAGCAGTTTAGAATCCTTGTGGTCTGCTTTGCCCTTCCTCTTCACATAGCTGAAGCAAACTGAATCCTGCCAGCAGTTGTACAGGAGTATCAGCAAAATTGGCAAAGATGACCAATTCAGATTTTAGGGACCAAGCAATTCCCTAAACTGGGGAGTATTACTCAAGTCCTGTGAGTGGACAAGCTAACCTGGCAGGTCAGATTTGACTGATGGGCCAAGAGGAGTGAGGAAGGAAGAACTGGTTGCTGTTGTTGATAGAGATAGAACCTGAACTTGTACATCCTAGTTCATGTTTCTAAGGTCAATGTAGAACAGTAGTGCATATGGGCATTTTCAGATTTAGGCTTCGAGCACTTTCTCACTTCAAAACATCAATGACAGCCCTTCTGCTCACACTAGTGAATGGATCATAAACCCCTTTTCTGATAAAGCCATCGATTTAGTACAGTATTAGAATGGAACATGTTGTTGAGATTTGGATTTCATTGTTTATAGCACAGCATATGTATTTACCCAAGGAAGGGTAAATCTGAATTTAAGATGACACTGCCCCCCCCCCCCAACATGCATTGTATACATGAACAAAAAACCTGTGCCGTATATAACTTCTCTAACAATACCAATCTAGAACTGCCAATTAAAGTTGGAACTAATCATGGTGATATTTCTCTTCCCAATGAATGTGCTCGTGTGTCACAATTGTTACCAAATTGTACCAAGATGGTTAAGCATTAAGGTTAATGAAATAACCAGCCAGTATTTTTCAGCAAAAAAGTGGACATTTTGATGAAATAGCTTACTTACTGTCATTCTCTGTAATCGTATTTGGAGATCATTGGTACTTTCATAGATATAAACAAAAGAAGAAAGAAGCCAATGTTGTTTAAAAAATTGTTTCTGAATCAGGGAAAAACTTCAGAAATGAAACATAAAAACTGGGAATGATATCTATCGCATAGGTGGAGGCATTAAACATAAAATGTAATAATGGCATTGGAATAAATCCGTAAGTTTTAAAGTTTTACAATTAATTAAATTGTTTTGTCAAGGGAGATGTTGATAGTCTTTAATCTCTGCCAGGATTACTCTTTCTATGAGATCTCTATACTATCTCCTTGGCAAAAGAGGACATGCTCCTTAATTTTAAAAGCCATTGCCCAGTGATAAGAGACACTTTGTACTTGCTCAAGGCTATTTTTGTCCTGTTTTTAATTGGAAAAAAGTCTCAATGTTTTTGCATTTTCACTATGGTGCATCTTGGCCCAGTGGAGATGATGCCACATGATAATGTTTTCATTCTTGGCTACCAGTTTGTTTGTTTGTTTATTTATATTTCAAATTTGTCACTGCCCATCTTGCTGCAAAGCAACTCTGGATGGTTCAGTTCCCATGATAGCATGTAGAACATCTCACCAACACTTTTTCAGGGGGAAAATCTTTAGTGACTTACATCTACAAACTCAGGTATGTCAACACCTCCTCCAAAATGTAGAAATTCCATGAAAACATGGAAGAAGGAAAAGCCAAGGAATGGATGGCTGTTGATCCCAAACTCTTGGTAACCGATGCTTGCCTGATAAGCATCATGCTATGGGGCCTCTGGCAAACGCACTGTGAGTCACCCTTTGAAGATGTCTAATGCTTTTATAATAATATCTGTTTACTTGCTAAAGTGATCATTGATTCAATTTGGCACCAATTGCCCAAGGCTCTTAGCACAAAAATTATCAGTTGTAGAGCTCCTTTGTCTTTGATTGAACTGCCCATAATAATGGAATAGACACATCAAGGGATCTTCATCAACCTCTCAAGAGATACAGGCAAAGTTAGCTCCAGGCTTTGGGGGAAGAGGTTGTTCATGGGCCCTCCTAGTCCTGTTTCATCCAAGTGAAGATCCTTAAGAATGTTGAAGTCCTTTCCCTTCCTTCCTGATTATTCACAGCCAGCCTCAGAACATCAGAAATGAAGGGGAACTTTTTCCTCCTGAGTCTGTTACTTCAGTCTCCTAGGTTGGGGATGCATAACAACATCTCAGGCACAATGCTACAAATTAAACAAATTAAATATTACTCTTATCATTTAAAATTAATTATATAACCATTCGCTTTTAGGACATATACAATGCTAGGACATGCATCAGTTGAATTCCACATTTGAAATTGATGAAGTGTGTGACCAAAAACACCATCTCCCAAACATACAAAACTTTATTCTTTTAGTTTCCCATACACACAAACACTCTCAAATCTCATATACAAAGGAAGTGATGGGACAAGGGGGAACAAAGTTGTGATGTGGCGGTTGTGCCTAATGGGCAACCATCTGGGGAACGTGACTTCCTAGTTGGCCAGATGTGGTCTTGGACTGCAGACTGTGAGCCTGTTTTTGAAACGTATCTCCAAGTTACCAGCTCAATCCAGCGGTACTAGCAAACACAGGGGAATGCAACCCCCAGATGAGATCCATTTCTGGGTCTCAGCAAATTCAGGAATTGGCAACTGCTATTGCTGGTCACAGGAGTAGAATAAAACCCAGAGATGGGGTGGAGTAAGAACATTCCAGTTCTCTTTTTCTGTCTAGGCAACAACAAATCTCTTCTTTTATCAGACTCTGATTCCCAAATGGAAAGTTTGGTCTCTTGCTTCCTGTCAGGGGCCAAAGTGTTAGAGGAGCAGGAAAGAGTGCATGTGTGTGTGAGAAGGAGTTTCTCGTGGGAACTTTCCCAGCCTTGACTCCGAGATTGTTTTTCTGGCTTAACTTCGCCCTATCCCATTCCTTGTCCTATTGTAGATTGTTTCCCCACAGACACCTCGAAGGGGGAAAAAAGGAGTAAAGAAAACAAAACAAAACAGAATGCAAGAGTCTAGAAATGCTTGTTGTTCCAACAGCAAAAGCAAACACAAGAGATTTTGTAGACATTTTCTCCAGCTATCCTGCTCCTTGAAAACTCAGCTTCAGAATGGGAAGACCCCAGGTGTTGGCTACCAAACCCTTCCCATTACAGTCCAATTACCTTCTGAATTTTGGGCTGCACCACAATGGCTCTCTTTCTCATTAACATATCTAAAACACATTATTACAGTATTTTATTACCAATACTAATAAAATACTAACTGATATTATAATAAAATGCAATTTTATTATAGCTTTACATCAGGATGACATCAACTCAAATGGCTTCTCCCCATAGAGCTTGTGGACTTAATTCTACTCCCCACTGGTTTTACTAAAGGATGGATTCAAAAAAGATTTGCCACAGGCTGCCAAATAAATAAACATGGAGGGAGGGGGCTGGTTTTTAACACAACTACACACCTAAGACTAACCACAACCTTTTTGAGCTGTGCTTGCATTTACTTAACTTTTTATTTATTTTATTTAGAGAGAATCTGAACTGGCTGATGACCTTCCCCTTCCTTTACAGGTGCAGCCATACCCTTGTGACATGTATGCTTGCTATCAACACAAAAGATGAACTAGACAAGACTTTCCAACACCCTTTCCCCTTGCAATTACAATGTTATCCATGGGTGCAATGACACTTGATCACCTTATAAACCCAGCAGATACAGCACTGTATTCATTATCGTATGACCTGCTGAGTGTGAAACCCCCCCCAACACACTTATATTCAAGCTCCCTTTTTTGCTGAAGCAGTATATCTATTGATAAACTTCCCTTTGTATAACAATGACTTTGTTAGGTAGTGTTGGACTTCAGGGTTTAGTGACCGTGGTCTAGACAACAGATTTCCTGACGTTTCGCCAGCAACTGTAGCTGGCATCTTCAGAGGCAAGGTGGCTTGCTACGCAGACCACAGGCAACTGAGCAGGGACTGGCTGGGCTCCTGTCTTTATAGCCAGATGTCCTGTCTGTGTTACCCCAGGTAGGAGTTAGAGGGTCATCTTTACCATTTTATGTCTTGGGGGAGTTCTAGCTTTCTCCATTATGAAGAATTCCAGCTTACCATGCCCTGTTGCTGCTCAGCCTTTTGGAGCCTTGAGGCAACATGGCTTTTAATATCTAGATGGTACCTGACTACCTGCAACCAAGCATGTTTTCCCTTCTCCTTTGCTCTAGTTCCATTCTTTTAAAAGTAAACTAGAACTGTTCAATAAAAAGCTGTAGCAGCCTTAGCTTCTGGTTAAGTTCTGTCTGGTTTTGCTAGTGCTACCAGATGTCCAGCAAAAGGAGGACCTGTCCTCCTTTTTGTCTTTATGTCTTCCATCTGGCAGTCATATCCTTAAAATCAAATATTATCTGGCTTTTTGAGTATCTTTCTCTCTCTCTCTCTTTTTATTATTTTGTTTTGGAGGGGGGACTGTTTTCACAACAGTAGTCATTCAAACGTTTTTGTATTGTGACCTTGTAAATTGTCTGCTTCTTTCTTCCCTCATCCATCGACAAACTCAAAAGCCTACATTTATTTATTTCCTGATTTCAACAATCAGCTACAATCCAGCTCCTTCAAATCTATGATCACTGTAGTCTATAGATCATATAACTATGGTGAAATTTGAAAAGCTCATCATCGTCAGCTCTGTATTATCGCTAGCATATGTTCTTGAAAATACAAATTTGTTGGAAAAAGATTGCAGTTAAAAAAAAGTTTTTCTGATGCTGCAGTAAGTAATTTCATGTACATGTAGGCCTAAGTACTTTTTTTTTTTTTTGCATTTTTTCACTGTATTTTTTGTCATGGATGCCAAGAAAGTAAAACAGTGTGTCTCCTTTTTCCTCCATTTGTCCTTCTTTCAAATTGCCCGTGTCCTCCTTTGCTTGTTCAGATATCTGGTAACCCTATATCAGACTAACTGCATAAATGGGTGTGTAGTGAGGTTAGAACAGTGTTTCTTAAAATGTGGTCCTTGGACCCTTGTGGGTCCCCCAAAGTCTTCTCAGGGGTCCATGAAATCA